TCTCATCTTTTTAAGTGGGAGAACTTTCATAATTGGTGGCTGACTAAATACTTTTTTGCCCCACTGTATATAGTGAATTGAGTAGACATCATCTGGGATTTTGAATATCTCAATTTGGTATACATTTTTTTTCTCCTGGTTTTAGGCTGTAATTAAATCGGCCCGGGAACATTTATTTATTTATTTTATTTTTGGGCCAGTTTTGCCTCTATTAGTGATATCCATTTGAAATGGAGATACAGGGTTTCTAGTTTTACCATGTGTTAACTGCCAAGGGGCTGATATGAGTTATTGTTTCTAATAACAGTGAAGCTTTCAACTCAGAGCAGAAAACACCTTTATTTTTTTCCATTGTCCAATAAGATTGAAATGTATGTCTTTTGTGGTGACATTATTTTTCATAAATCTCACCCCTTTGGACGTTTCATCCCCTCTGTCTCCCCTTTTCAAAGCTATCTCTCTAATAAAGGCTAAACAAGCCCAAAATAAATAGAAAAAACGGTGTGAAAAGTGTGTTTTATGAACAATATTGAATCAATATTCTGCATATTCTCTCAGATGGCTGTAAAGTGGTGTTCCTCACCAAGAGCCCTCTGGTGCTGGTGGGCGTGTCCCGCACCTGTCAGTCGGACAAGGAGCTGCTGCGGGAGCTGCAGTACATCTACTACCAGATCGTCAGCCTGCTCACCCTCACCCAGCTCAACAACATCTTCAAGAACAAGCAGAACTACGACCTGCGCCGCCTGCTGGCCGGCTCCGAGTACCTGACGGACAACCTGCTGACCCGCCTGGAGCGAGACCCCGGCCTGCTGCTCAGCGCCGTCACCTGCCTGCCTCTGGCCAGCTCCACCCGGGACACCGTGTCCTCCAGCCTGCAGGCCGCCAAGTCCAAGAACCTGGTGTTCTCCATCCTGCTGGCAGGGGACCGCCTGGTCACTCTGCTGAGGAAGAAGGACCAGTTCCTGCACCACATAGACTTGCACCTGGTGTTCAACCTCGTCGGCTCCTCTTCCTCGTTTCGTGAAGGCGAGGGCTGGACGCCGATCTGTTTGCCAAAGTTCAACACCGCAGGATTTTTCCACGCTCACATCTCTTACCTGGAGCCCGCGTCCGAGCTCTGCCTCATCCTGGTCTCCACCGACCGAGAGGACTTTTTCAACATGTCCGACTGCAAGAAGCGCTTCATGGAGAGGCTGAGCAAGCGCAGCGCCTACCCGGCTCTGAAGGAGGCTCTGAAGTCTCCCACCTACTCTGTGGAGCAGGTGGGCATCCCGGAGCTCAGGCACTTCCTGTACAAATCAAAGAGCTCAGGGCTGTACACCAGGTGGGCGGGACGTCTGAGCAAACATTTTCATGTGTTTAATTAATGTCACAATCATGCAAAAACCTCTGATAACCACCCTCCTCCCTCTTTATGTCCTCTCCAGTCCAGAGTTCCCTGATGTGTATAAGTCTGACTGTGAGCAGGAGAGGCTGATGGGGTTGTACCAGGACCTCCACAGCAGCTTGCACCACCCAACCAGACCTCTCCGCTACGTCTACCGCTGTGGGGACACTGAAAACCTGCTGGCGTGGGTAAGCCTGGGAGATCAGATGATTGTAGTCTTTAACAGGATTTCATAACTGCTGTGGGATCAGATTTCACAATAGAGTGTCAGACATGAAATTAGGAAATGCCTCAGAGCAGAGCGGGACAACATTGTGAATATTCGTGGCTGAAATATTATAATTGATGCTTTAGAAAATGTATCAAACAATGTCATATTTTATTTACTTCTCATCCAAACTGTCAATAATGATGTCATTGCTGCATTACTAAATATGTAGATAATGTATCTAGACGGTGACTTTAACACTACATTTTAATATGAATCAAGACATCAAACATAAGCCAAGACATTTTAATCCGGCATACTTTTGTCAGGTATGAATTATTGTATAAATACAAACTTATATATAATATTGTCTGACTTTCTTTAGTTATTGTTCATTAAAATATAAAGAGGACCATCTCTTTGGAAAAACACACTTTAATAACTACGTTTTATAACCCTTCATGGATTTCATGAACACATATGTACTTTTGATCTTTTGATCTTTTTTAAGTATTATCTAATAGAAGTAGTAATACAAATAGTCATCTTGTTATATATGTGTGCAAATAAATAAAATCACAATTAAATAAAATAATTTAGAAAGTCAGTTTGGCCCTTTGCATTTCACATATCAAACCGAGCAAAATCACTCATAACTAGGGATGGGTATCGCTAAGGTTTGTTGGCGACACTAAAACTGCAATATAATGTTTGTGTAGCAATAATACATTTTTAAATGTCTCCAGTACCGATAAAAAGACCGATAACGTCGGAGCTTAACGGTACCACGGTCTTTAATAATTCAGCCCCGGGGCCCGTTTAAAGGTGGGGTAGGTAATATTGGAGAAACCAGCTCGAGTGCGCTAGAATTTGAAAATACACAGCCGGAAAGAATCTGCCACTTCCTCACAGAGCCCCTCCTCCAACACACACGAACACACACATGACCAATGAGGGCACGAGATAAGTTTGTGCACAGATGGAAGGCTGACAGGCAGGTAGGCCATCCAGTTATTTTAGCCGGGCCGGCTCAGATGATTGGTCGTGCCTTTTACAGCGCTACGGCTTCCACAGATGAAATGTTTTTATGGATTTTTTGTCAAAGCACTTCAGATATTCATTGCTATCGGGATGTTAAGAGCATTCCATGGAATATAAAAAAAGTGTATCTCGAGCCGGTTTCTCAAACGTACCTACCCCACCTTTAATACCGCAGCTCGGTACACATCTCTACTCATATAGTATTGTGATACACATTTAAACAACCTTGTGCTTGTCTCCTCATTTAATATTGTTCTCTACTAATATTATTACTTG